GTGAAATCGTTCAGCTACAACGGTTTTGTCGTCACAATCCAACGTTTTTCCCGCAGTATAATGAACAATGCGGGAACTATTCAGGAGCTAATCATTAAAACTAATATTTTTCCCTCGACAATTGTCAAAAGTATAGGTGGAATCAGAAATCATTTGCTGGTGTACCCAACCTCTGTCCCTCCAGAATGTTTGTTGTTAATACAAAACTTGCAAAAGAACCGTGTGAGTCAGTAGTTGAGGCTTTGAGCCGAGAGATGGCTTAAAAATAAAATCCTTTATTGTTTTTGTCAGAGGCATTTCTGTGTTAATAGTGAAAAAAAGAAAGCGTGTACTAGCCTCAAAATAAGAAAATATGGATTCTACATCATTTAAAAAAAACAGGGAAAAAAATATTTACGTTTTCCGAGTAGTTTAAAGACTTATTATTTCTAATGGTAAGAAATATAACTAGTATTTTGTACAGCAGCTTCATGCATAAAATAACAGTTTACAATCAGTGCTGTTCTATAGTATACAAGTGCAAGAAGTTATTTACAAATTAGTCATGAAACTTATCAAGTACTAACGTAAATCTGGCTTTGACATCAAGCTAAAGCAATACAATACAATACAATACAATACAATTTATTCTTGTATAGCCCTAGGTCACAACAGAAGTCATCTCAGAGGACTTAACAAAACCATTGAAATCACCAACACAGGTCAGAGAATCAACAGTTAAAACACATGAAAAATATAAAGCACACACAGAAGAAAATGTCCATACATGTTGTAGAATGCTAAAGTGTCCTGATCATCACCAATCCTTTCTGTTGGACACTAACTGTCCAACAAGACCCTCCTGCATCGACAAGGAACAACTCTTAAAAAACCCAGTGGGAAAAAGTGAGAAACCTTGGGGAGAACTAGGGAAACCCACAGGGAGGGAGACCCATATGAGAAAGGGATCCGCTCCTCCGGACGGACAGGCTAATGATCTAGGACCTAAGCTAGCTACAGAACGTGGACCAGTGGACGCTGAACGTGGACAGGTCCGGTGCAGGACTGAAGCACTCCCAGGCGGGTCGGGCGGGGCAGTCTGCAAGCATTAGGATATCTTAATATCTTATTTATGTATTATATTTTCATCAACATAGACATGAACACATGCATACACATACACATACACACACACACACACACCAAAAACAACATTAAACAAATAAACTTATATATAGAACTCAAATCCAACTGAAGTTTTTCCTCAAATATATGTTTTTTTTCATTAATATATATAGTAGTATAAATCCTTTTGATACAAACCAAACTTTGTTTTTGTTTTCAATCCTAACAGTGGTATAAAAATATCGACCCTATAATTAATTCCATCTTAAACAAGTTTGAAATTCTTTAGTCGACGATGCCCACACACTGGCTCTCCTGCATCTGAAACACTTGGCCCCAGAGTCCCCCATGCATCACCTCCACCTCCACCATCACTGACTTGTGTCAGTGCTTTCAGCTGATAACTACTGTGCTCCTTTTTCCCCATGGCACAACGAGAAAAAAAAAAAAACGGGGACTAATAATTGCTTTGGGGGGTGGGAGTGTGAGGACGGCTAAATGTGCTTGATTGCCTCCTAAGCTTGGGTGCGGTGTAATGAAATATGGCTGCATGCAGACAGGGGCTTCCGTGCGATGGCGTATTGTGGTGTTTTTCTTTCCTTGTTTTGCTTAGTTTCATGTTGCGTGATTTTGCGCCGTCCATTCCACCATTAAGGAATTTTATATCACAAATAAGTAACACTCGAGTAAATACCAGAGCTCTGACCAGAGGAGACTGTATTGTGCAACGTCGTTGGACTAAATTCAGTCAAACGGTGGAGTCTATCAGAGGCTCGCAGTTTTGGAACTCGCTGCCTGTTCATATCAGGAACTGTGACAATTACCACACCTTTAAAAAGGTCCTAAAAATCTGGTTAAAAACAAATCAATCTTGCACTCACAGGTAGTTTAATTAAAGTTCAATGCTTGGGCGTGTTATGTTAAATTACCTGTGTCTGTCCTTGTAACTGTGACTGTAACTTTGTGCTGTTCTCTGTACTATGTTTGTATTTTCCTTCTGTCAATGTTTCTATTCCTGCCTTAGGACAACGGATGCAATTTAGCTCTCACGCTAATTCTGGTACATTTACATTGATGCTTTTGGCTGACGTGTTGATTAATGTGCACTGTCCTAATTCAAATAAATAAATAAATAAATAAAATAAATAAATAAATAAAATCCAAGTCTCTGTCGCTAATCAACCCTTATCTTTGAGCTAATATGGAATAATTACTGTTGCTAGAATTATATGGAGGTTTTAAACACTTTTTAAAGGAATAGTTCACCGTTTTTACATACTGACATATGTTCTTACCTTACCTTAGACTAGTTAATACGTACCTGTGTGATCTTAGTCCGTGCGCTCTGTTATGCAAACGGAGCAAAAACGGGAGGACAAATGCAGCCTCCTCTGGTCACTGTGTAGCACCAAAAGGTAGCTCCCGCTAGAAGCTACCAAACTCTTCCAAGTGTTCCCTATTAAATGTATATAGTTACGTGACGTGTTACACTGCAAAGTATAGTAACACAGAAATGTAACTGTCGATTTTCTCAGCGGATAAAACGGGTACTATATTGTGAGGCGTAGTAATCTGAGGTGCGCTACGTCCGCGCACTAACTTCTCTCCGGAGACTTCTCTCTCGCTCACTTCCGTCAATAGAAGCAGCGTGACTTGTAGTACGGAGAGAAGTTAGTGCGCGGACGTAGCGCACCTCAGATTACTACGCCTCACAATATAGTACCCGTTTTATCCGCTGAGAAAATCGACAGTTACATTTCTGTGTTACTATACTTTGCAGTGTAACACGTCACGTAACTATATACATTTAATAGGGAACACTTGGAAGAGTTTGGTAGCTTCTAGCGGGAGCTACCTTTTGGTGCTACACAGTGACCAGAGGAGGCTGCATTTGTCCTCCCGTTTTTGCTCCGTTTGCATAACAGAGCGCACGGACTAAGATCACACAGGTACGTATTAACTAGTCTAAGGTAAGGTAAGAACATATGTCAGTATGTAAAAACGGTGAACTATTCCTTTAACAGCAGTTTGTGAAAGTGTTATAGTTGTCTTTCCAGGTTATTTAGTCACAGTTTGTTTTGTTAATTGGATTCATGCATGTTTTAAAGCTGGGGCACCTTTCCAAATGTACCTGTATAACACAAGCCATTTAACCCAACAACATTTATCATCATTTATCAACATGTATGGACATTGGTCATCAGCCCCTAATAGACCAATGGCTCTTTGTGGCTATTAGTTTGATTCTCTGATCTGTGTTGGAGAATTCAACTGTTGTGTAAAGTCCTCTGAGATAACCACTGTTGTGATTTAGGGCTATACAAGAAAAAAAAATAACAATAATTGTAACTAGTTGGTTCTAAAACATTTTGGTTCCATCACTTGTTTTCGCAGGCATGTATTTCGGCTTCCATCACATATTTAGGTTGTTTTCATCAATCACCCGCTCATAAACTCATGCCAGTGCATGCAAACACTGGGTGAGGCGGGGTTAAGTACGCAAGTAAGTAATCCTTATTTACATGGTGCCTTTCACATAGCAGAGTCACAAAGCACTTTACATGTGTGGGCAATTGTCCCCCACTCCACACAGAAATGGGAGTGGGGTCCCCAGTACAGGAGGTGCATGCCAGACCTATTGGCATAGTGTCTTGCCCAAGAACACACAGCAGCAATCATCAATGGGAGCTGGTTTCACACCTGCCAACCTTCAGCTCGGAGGACTAACACTCTACCAACTGAGTTATACCAAAAAAGTATATTTTATCAGACAGAACAAGGAAAAACACTCTCTCAGCCCACAGAGTTTCACAGTGACTCGAACATGCAAACAAATAACATGTTTTCAAAGGCAGTCTGCTGTGGTCTAATGTTTTCACAATGGTTTACTTTTAAAATTCTATTCCGGTCGTGACAAAAAATATGTATGTTTTATTTACGAAGAAACAAACTTGTTTCAAGTCATTTACATCCTCTTACACCTGGAAGGCCATCTCTCGCCCCTCGCTTCTCTGTCCATGGCTACATAACCACAGCGTTGAGCAAACATGATGTGCTCAAAAGGGGGAAAAAAATCCACTGTTGGCTATCTTTATCCCGTCTTTGCTGTGACCACTTTTCTGCAGATGATGCATATACGGCAGGACTGAACAGGGGATTGTGTAAACATATTTCTACACATGTTCCATCAAAAACAAAATGTAAATATGAATTTGTTCTTTCATTTTCCATTCCCATGTGAACAAAAAATACATTTATTCCAGATATTAAAGTCATGAACACAAAAACGACATCTGCAGCCCACACCCAGTCCTCACATCTATACCCAGCCAAAGCCAGCCCCCTTTAAACTATACAGAGTTTTGTCTTATCATCATTTTGTAAAACACACACAGACAAAAAAAAAACATTTGGGAAGTAAATTAGTCAAATTAATCCTCATTTGTTGGTGAAAGAGACGAGCCCCTTATCTGCAAATGAAGATGCTGTAATCGCTCTAAGCTTACGGTCCGACTCCCCGATGGCCGAGTGAAGCTAATCACTGACAAGAATTATACATTGAGATCTCCCCAGTACATTTGCGGAGCCATTTTGTGAGCGTTATTCATGTTTTGAGCATCCCACACGCCTCATTTGTCGCTTCACTTCAAGGAAAATGTAATTATGTGTGTTTTCATTATAATTCAGTCCTACGCCAATCGATGACTGTGGCTAAGTCTCTTGTGCACGTCCAATTTTCAGTTCTTTTGACTACAATCTGCTCCCGCTACCAACATCCACGCACATTTTGCAATCAAAGTGGGCTCAATAAATGCACTAATTACACGCGTTTTTGTGATTTATCTTCTGCTGAGTTTTGAGTTGAGAGTGAGTTTTGTGTTTTTGTTGGTCCACAGTTGTTTTTCCTGAGACGTTACCCGCAGGATGAGGCCTCCAGCAGGTAGGACTCGCTTCTCCTTTTCTCCTGAGCATGATTTTGTATGACTTAAACCTGAGGAGGGTTCACGATCGTCTTCTCTTTACTCGGAGCAAGGCGGTAGACACGAGGGATATATTCTGAATATAGACTTTTGATGCAGATCGGTTGGTCGACTGAGAACGGAGCATGTCAAAATGGCTCTGTTGTATCACCTGCAATTTACACACAGTGAAAATATTTAGCGTTTCATCCATGTTTTAAAGTGTTCAACCCGATTCAGATTCAGTTTATTTGCAGTAAAACCATTGGAATACATGTACAAAAGTATGCCAGTGAATAAAACAAGATAACAAGTACAAGAAAGACTTGTCACTGTGAAACCAATCAACAAAAACTGCTTCAATAACAAGATCCTTAAAGTTCTTTGTTTGAAGTGGTACGTGCTTGTGGAAAGAAGCTGTTAGCATATCAAAATGTCCTGCATCTCAGCGTCCAATATCTTCTGCCAGAGGGAAGAAGCTGGAACATGGCCAGAAGTGTCCCCAACTTTGATTATTTAAAGATCTATTGAAAACACACATGTATTTATCATGCGATCATTCATTTTCCAAATATTTGCCATATATTAAAGGGGGAAACATATTAAGCATTGGTGAAAAAGTTCAAACCCAGGATTTCTCAGCTGAGTAAAAGTCTGCAAAGGAGTAATGAGACTGAAAGATTGCTACCATTGGTTTAATATAATTCTATTTTATACTCATTGATGGGTGTCTGAGTGCACAGAGGTCCTGGGTTCGCCTCCCAGTTGATGCAGGACTTTTTTGAGTCTGCATGTTCTACACATGTCTGCTGCTCCAGTTTATATACAACATAAAATAGTCACATCTTTGCGTTGTTCTAGACACTTAAAGCAATCAAGGAACTAATCACCCATTCACACACGCTGACACACATTCATACACTAGTGTGCGGAGACACCGAGGCCAATTTTAAACATAATAGAATAATGTCTATAAAACCATGTGGCCTCGAGAAAACATGGTTATTTCAGTTTATCATAATCGGCATTGAATCAAAATTGATATGGAGTATTTTTCCCAGTCTCAAAACGTACTTTGAAGTATAATATTGTGACAAGACTCTGCCACATTCACCTGAAGCGATGCACTTTCACAAGTCTCCCAAATAGATTTCAGAGGAACGACGCGTTTGGAGGCAGAACTTTCAGATGTCATCCAGCATCATATCAAGGAGCTGAGCCAAATCTTCACTCAAGCTCAGACTCTCCCCTCTGCCGACCTGCGTAGTGAAGGAATCCAACAGTAAATCTGGCACCCCAAACCCTTTTCGAGTGAGGGGCAGGGTGAGTGGCGCTGATGGGAGAGACTGCGGTCCTCACAAGCCTGATTGATGGAGTGTGATGAGACTGTCACAGAGCAGGGAGAGGATGGGGAGGAAGTACTGGACTGACCACAAAGTACAGATAGAGAGAAATAAATCTGAGAGCATGTGGAGGATGAAGTCGGGGAAATGAAGTGGGGTCTGCAACGGACAGATGAGGGACAGATGCAGCACAGGTGACGAGATGTGGTGGTCAGTGGCAAACGGAATAGAGAAACACTTTATAGGGTATGGGTTGTTTTTGGAACTTTAAGATAGATTACTTTTACTTGTGTTATAAAACTTTAAATAAAGTCTATGGATAAAAAACAGTGGTAATTAATCATTCAAGACAACATAGCAAGCAGCTATTTAGCATCAGAGGAGCTCATATAAGTGAATTAGTCTCAAAAACTGCGGCGTGGGGCGACAGTGGCTCAGTTGGTAGAGCATTGGCTATGTCCATGGGCAAGACACTTAACCCCATCTTTGCCTGAATCCCCTGCGGAAAAATCAAGGCCATGAGCTGCCACCCAATTCACTGAGCACCAGCCCCTCCCTGATCCTCCTGCAGGTGGTGAGTCCACAGGGCCTCCTCTGGACAGGGCCTTTCTGCGTGCTCCGGTTTCCCTGACCACAATAACAAAAAAAAATCCCCAAACTGAGGGCCCCCCCTCAGTGAGACTTTCCTATTTACAGAAAAACTCCACTTCTTCAGAAAAGGCCAAACATTATTTGTACATATCAAATATGTACTCTTAGATGTAATTTAAAATTAAAATATTACATATGGGTCCTCAAAGTATTGTGATGTTCTTCAAGTTCAATAAATCTTATGTAACCATATTACCCCAGATCCAAATAATATTTTATTCTTTTCATGAAATGTCTTCGAAGCTAAGTTCACTTTTCTCCGTGTGTTCAGTGCAGTAGTTTCTTTGGTGGAGTTTCCCTCTGGCTCTGGTGCATGTTTCACTGTCAGTGTGGACATGAGAGAGCTTATCAGACTATCTGCACCTGCAGAGGCCACAACAGCAGGACCCTGGGACAGCAAGACCCTGGCAGCGCACACACACACGCACACACACGCACACACACGCACGCACGCGCACATGCACACACATGGCACACGCACACATGGCACAAACCTGGGAATTCCACACTAACACAGCTCCAATAAAGAGACTGCAGCTTTGGCCTTTTATCCCTGCAGAGGAGAGAAGGCTGAGTCGCCACAATGAGAAGTTGTTATAAGTGGTGCATGTGAAGTGGTGTTTGTGTGAGTGTGTGCGTGTGTGTGTCTGCGTCTGCATGTCAACGGGACAAAGGTGAATAAGGCTTATCTGTCCAGGTGCTGTCAAATCTGCCGCTCCTCTGCTCTGCCCTCTACAGCCGCTGAATTTTCCAGAGAAAGTCGAGAGTCTTATATCTCTCACACATAAATAGAATATCTACTTTACTTGGCCTGGGAAGTAAAAGTATAATTGCAAAAACGTTCTCAAATAACTGTATCTTCATCTGGCATGACCAGACGCTCAAGGCCAATGGGTTTGTTTGTTTGTTTAAATGAACAATTACACTCCCCAGTCGTATCGATTCTGGTCCACACGTTTTGGAGGTCCTGGCCTGAAAGGTTTGAGGACCCTTTGTCAATGTAATTATTGTGAATCAGAAAACACAAGCATCTCAGACAATCAGAAAAGTAAAGTTGGTGCAGAATCATTTCTCTATTTTGTTTTTAACTTTAGGGTTTCGGGACTTCTTTTGAGATCAGCTCTGCTTTTGGTGCAAACAGTCAGAAACAGAGCAGGGAGTGGACTGCCCGTATGTGAACCGACGCCACAGCATTAACACTTTAACATTTAATAACATGTGCCACTGAGCCTTGAACTGTGACGGTTTTGGAGAAAACTGGGAGGAGCTTTGCATAAACTCAAAAGACGTGGATATTGCTGTTGCTTCTCTGGGAGGAATAGTGCCGCTGCTCCCGGATATGAGAATACTCAGTCAGTGAACTGGAAATGTAGCCAATATGAATGATATTAGCGACAACCATATTAAAATGCTTAGCTGTGCCAAAATTAATTCCGTCTTCCTACAGTGAGCCCCCGAGACAGGGTTCAGGGGTAAGCTCAAGTCGCATTGATGACAAGGAAAGCTTTTTTTAAATATACATATATACACTCAAGGTTTTGTTCAAATATTAGACTTTTAGAACGGTTTTGTTTTTCCAAATATATAACAATAAAATGTTTTACCAATCACCCAATGTTCATTCATGCTAACAGCTAGCAGCTATACGATAAAGGCGTATAGCTTTATCGTATGGTAAATTTGTATGTGAAAAATTGTGACTTTGTGTATATTTTTGCCTTGTGGTGACTTGTGGTAATAATAACAATACACTGTACTTACACTACCGTTTAAAAGTTTGGGGTCACATTGAAATGTCCTTTTTTTTTTTTAAGGAAAAGCACTGTAGATAACTTTAAACTAGTCTTATCTGTAAAGAAATACACTCTATACATTGCTTATGTGGTAAATGACTATTCTAGCTGCAAATGTCTGGTTTTTGGTGCAATGTTGTAATTGCTGCAAATGGAGGATTCTTTGACGAAAGCAAAGTTGGATGTAAAACAAATCTTATTTCAAATACAAATAATTATTTCTAACCTTGTCAATGTCTAGACTCTAAGTGTGACTTTTGGAAAACACTTGGGTGACCCCAAACTTTTGAACGGTAGTGTATATAGCGCTTTTTTGGACACTCAAAGCCGCTTAGATGTAGGTGTTTTACTATTTTAGATTTAGACTTCCCTCATTTTACTTGCACATGTTTAACCCATTATTTTCTACTGGAGAAAATACGTCACGCTATAAAACATGACATAGCAGGTGACACTTTTTAAATGCTTTTTTTTTTTTTTTTTAATGTTTTATTGTTTTAGTGCATCAATGTTTTAAATTGATTTTATGTAATTTTATTGTGAAGCACTTTGGTCGCCTTAAAATCAACTCAAATGCAACAAAAACACTTCATGATAGTTCTTCTTTAAAACGATGTGACACTTATTATTTCCAGTTAACATAATCCCATGTGCATGTATTAAAACAAAAAAATCAGTTTCTATCTCACTTCATGCATTGGTTCGTCTTGCGTTCCCAGTCTACAATTGTTGGAAAATCTTTAAAACACATCTATAAATCTCCTATTTGCATAATTAACTGCACCAGCACAAAAAGTCATGTTCATTATGTAAATACAATTCCGCAAATTAATTTCTGAGGTTATTCAGGGCGGCACGGTGGCTGAGTGGATAGCACTCTCGCCTCTCAGCAAGAAGGTCCTGAGTTCGAATCCCGGACCAGGGCCTTTCTGAGTGGAGTTTGCATGTTCTCCCCGTGTCTGCGTAGGTTTCCTCCGGGTACTCCGGTTTCCCCTACCACTAAAAATATGTCCAATAGTTCTGGCATGTGCCTCCTGTACTGGCCCTGCTCCTATCTCTGTGTGGAGTGAGAGACAAATGCTCAAAAATAACAATTGTAAACCGCTTTGAGACTCAGATCTGCAGTGGAAAGGCGGTATATAAATAAAGATTACTTACTTACTTACTTACTTCATGCAAAGTGTACACATGTTT